AATTTATTCACATGGTAAAGTGGAATGTTTTTATTATGTGAATCAATTTATTCACATGGTAAAGTGGAATGTTTTTATTATGTGAATCAATTTATTCACATGGTAAAGTGGAATGTTTTTATTATGTGAATCAATTTATTCATGTGGTAAAATGGAATATTTTTATTATGTGAATCAATTTATTCATGTGGTAAAATGGAATATTTTTATTATGTAAATCAATTTATTCATGTGGTAAAGTGGAATGTTTTTATTATGTAAATCAATTTATTCATGTGGTAAAGTGGAATGTTTTTATTATGTGAATCAAGTTATTCACATGGTAAAGTGGAATGTTTTTATTATGTAAATCAATTTATTCATGTGGTAAAGTGGAAATGTTTTTATTATGTGAATCAAGTTATTCACATGGTAAAGTGGAATGTTTTTATTATGTAAATCAATTTATTCATGTGGTAAAGTGGAATGTTTTAATTATGTGAATCAATTTACTATATTAATCTCTTTCTAGCGACTAAGAGATACATGTGAAACAGTTGGAATGGTCTACGACTTTAATTTAAAATACACGTTACATTCACATTTCTTGTTCAATAAACGTAATAATGTCAAAATAAACGAGATAAAAGTTTGTTCCGAAAAACAGCAAACACTCGTCTTTCCTTATCAACTTTTTGCTAATATCTGAAGCATGTTTTAAATGCCGCAAGCATAACCTTCTCTATCGTTGGTGCGCTGTATATTTCAAGTATACAATATATCGTAGCTAGGGTAACGATACCAATATGTTCGTAAATTAATATAATTCTACGTTTTTAAGGTTTTTGTCACATAATTACGCACGTAAGTTGTTCCATACCCAGCAATTCAGTGTGATCTCCGTTTTTATCTATCCCTGTCATAGTCATATTTAGAAATTATTCTGTTGTTTCACTCTAGAAAACTCACACACACACAGATTGGCCATACATGACTGCCTCTTAACTTTGATTGGCGGGCTTTTTAAGCTAACAATTCGATATTTTAGGAAAAATAAAAGACAAAATGACCTAATATGTGGAAATGTTATCATAAAATAACCTAATATACGCAAATGTTATTTAACTTCCGTTATGCTTTTAAAAATGAGTCCCCCGGTGGAACGGAGGTAAGTCTACGCATTTACGATGCTAAAGGCAGGGGTTCGTTTCCCTTAGTGGACACACCAGATAGCTCGAAGTGGCTTTGCTATGAAAACACACATACGCGTTTTTTTTAACGATGTAAAACTTATTTAACTAAAACCTTTCCACACAAATGTTACATAGCTAAAATCGAAAAGATCAACCAAAAATTGACGGTTCTTATTACCTTTTTTCCATCATTAATTCACGAGTAAACCAAAACGTGTCTGTTTCATGAGGTTATATTTTCTGAACAGCGTGGTATTAAATTCCTGTTTTTCTGCTTACGCCAGAAAACATGGCCATCATTCTGCATAAACCGGAAATTTCTACAGACATATGAAAAAAAACCTAAAGCGATTTCTAATAAATCGCAATTTTACAAAAGGGTCAAGTTTTCTAGTAAACATTATCGTTCTTAAAGTACACGTTGTTCTTATGCTTTGTTTAAGCCTACAATAGATGTATTAGTGAAGTTAACATCTCTCAAGACATTTTTCATCTACCAATGAAATGGTCGTATTTACTATTATTTTGCATTTTTAAGAATGGTGGATTATACTAGAAAATTCCAAATGTTCTTGACATTCAAGAATGAAGAATGAAATGAGTGGAACTTGAACTTGTCGGGAATCATATTATTATCCTATGAAGTTTCATTTAAAATTTTGAATATTAGAATCTTATTTTAACCCGTCATCGTTCATATTCAGCATAATTCCTAATCACGCCAGCCAACATTATCTGTTTAAACATTCCACATGAATAATCCTCTTCAAAACTGTCTGTGTTTAAAACAACGCCACATTGGGCTATCTGCCGCGTCCACCCGCGACGAATCGAGCGCCCGGATTTTAGCGTTGTAAATCCTTAAACTTACTGTGGAACTTAAAACTGTCAAAACTTAACGTTATATATATATATATTTATATTGTTTGGAAAAGTATGGTTTAAGCTATATCTGTTAGACGAATGCTGTTATTTTGAAATTTAATATCAGTGTTAAGTATACATCTATGGATTTATAAACTTAACATTTCCTAAAACAATGCGTTTACTTTATTAAAGGGCAAATATTTCTCTGAATTTAAACAAGCGTATGGTTGCGCATGAGGTTGTAAATTACTACAAAGACATTAATATATACATATAAAAATAATTAAAACTAATTATGTTTTTGCACCTGGTAGGTCCATTTGGATATTGTAAGTTTAATTATATTTTGATTTAACTGTTTGTTTTCTGATATTTTCTAAGCAGTCTGTTTATGTTGAAGGATACAAGCATTTAGATATCTTGAAGTGAGAAAAAAATAACAATAATTGTTGATTATTAATACGGTAGTAAAAAAAATTAACATTTCTCTTTATATTATTATATTCTTTA